AAACTTTGACAGATCAACACTGATTTGATTTCCACAGTAATACTATTCCTTGGATAACACGGAAATTTAAATTCTTGTCTTTGTTTAACAAATCTAGTTTGAATCTGGAACTAGAGTACATATTTGATGAAGAAGCCGCAGTTCCATAACCAATATTTACCACTCTCCTTTTTTTCCACTAATATTTAGGCTTATGTATGTATTGCTGCTTCTGTCACACAATATACTGAAGGATATAAAATGTAAATACAAGGTATGTGATTGATAATGTGATTTGCACAGCTCAGTTGATTACCAACTCGAGAATTAATTTGTCATTAAAGGTTTAGGTTGACAGATGTACTGTCCAGTGTCAATAGAGGCTGACATCATTTTGGAAGCAGAGAATCTGAATAAAAGCGGTGCTCTCTCACAAGCAGTCTGCACTTTGTTGATAAAATAATAACAGCAACAACAACAACAATATAAAGAATATAAAGACATTAGTATCCCTTTACCGTTCAATTGTGCGCCCCCATTTGGAATATTGTTCTGTTATTTTTAGTTCAGTTTCTTTTACACAAGCTCAGCATATTTCTAATGTTCAGAATAAGTTTATTAGGTTTCTTAGTCATACTTGTCCCAATTATAATGTCTCTCTTATGTCTCTTGAAAATCGTAGAATTATTTTTGACATGGTATTTTTATATGTCTTTAAATTCCATTTATGATTGTCCTCTTGTTTCTATGTTCAGTTTAAACATCCCGACTTGTACCCGCAGTAAGTGTTTACTTCATGTTCCTTACGGTCGTGTTGATTGCACAAAACGGGGTATTTTTCAACGTTTACCGAACGAATTTAATAGACTACTTGATACTTGTTTTAATATTGATATTTTTTATGATAGTCTTAATATTTTTAAAAGCAAAATAGTTAAAATTGTGTAAGTGTATTTTAGTTTATTTCAGTTTTGAAGTTTATAATATATATTTAAATATGTTTTATTTGAACCTGTTAGTGGCGGTTTTCATCGCTGTTGGTTTTATACTGAATAAAATAAAATAAATAATAAACATAACAAATAGGAATGAAATACAGTATAGCACAAGTTTCTAATGCAAAGGTAAAATCTGGTTCATCATGGATTTTTCAATTAAAAGAACATGTTCAATGTATTGGGTCGGGTATACTGACATAGAAATATTATTGTAGAGAATGCCTCACCACCATTATGTAAATGAATACAAAAGAGTCTAGCATTATGGAGATGTCCATTTTCTACTGGCAACTCAAAAACCACTAATACCAACTAGCAAACAGCATTGTGACGTTGCCATATTGTCATCTAAATTTTTAAAAACTGATTTTTTTATTTTAAATTCATAATTTTTATACTCACTTGAACGTATCTCGCTTATTGTCGTTCAATCGTCTCCCAACTTTGAGTATGTTATAGCTGAGAGAGTTTGCTTTCAAAATAAGTTATTCATTTTTCACTTTAATGACGTCATCATGGTCAAAATGGATGTTTTTCTGACTCCTCCCCCACCTCTTTCTTTCTTCAGTTTTTTCAAAACCCCAAAGAGAGCGCGGCAGACTTGATATTGTCTTGCACTGTTTGAAAATCCTGGCTACGATAATTTTCCATAATTCATACTTTTAAACGCGGAGAGATTTCTTTTGCCTGACAAGCTGATCACCTAACTCGTCCTTAGTGACGAGTTCAAATCTAGTTTTAAAAATATTATTAAAAATGATCCATAGATGCATTATAAATCAATCGTGACATCATCACTATGACTCTTAATGTTATTTTCCTATTCCCAACTGTTCACTAATTTTCTATTAGTGCATGGTGTGCTTGATTTTTTTTTTCTCGCTCTGTGTGCAAAAAGTGAAAACAAGTTGTATAGTATATATCATGCACTGCGATGAATTCTAAGCTGGTGCTTTTATTCCTAGCACTACCACATGCGTCTGCGGAAAGAGAGGGCAGACATTCGCCCAATCGTTTGTTGACAAGTAGTAATTGAAAAATGACTTTTGTAAAACAAGGTTGATTAGAACCCAAAGAAAGTTACTTTAAATTCAATATTATGTACGAAAAATTAAGGAATTCCTTGAATCAATGGACCCTAATTTTCATAAATCACACCTTAATCACAAGTCCCGTTCATATGGAAATTAGCCCCTTTTTTATTGGAAGTGCTACCTTAAACTGTAGGCCAGACAATCTGAACAAATTGCAAACAAGGATTTTTCTTTTATAAATGAACACACAAATGATGAGGGGATAACATTTCAGAAATCACGCTGTGGTCGCATACCATATGCAAAAAAGAAGCCATGCCCTTTTTTTTTATTTTAGCACTATTTAACAATATGCTAGACAATCTGAACATATTGCAAACAACGGTTTTTCTTTTATAAATGAACATATGTCATGAGGGGATAACATTAAAAAAATTACACCATGGTCACATGTCTTGTTTATATGCAAATTAGCTTAAATATGCAAACAAAAAAGGGCTCCAACCCTTTTTTATTTGAAGCACTATTTAACAATAGTCTAGACAATCTGAACATATTGCAAACAACATTTTTTTTCTTTTATAAATGAACATACAGTACTCTATGTGATGAGGGGACAAACTGCAGAAATCACACCATGGTCACATGTCTCGTTTATATGAAAATTAGCTTACATATGCCAAAAGTATGCCACTTTAAACAGTAGCTTAGACAATCTGAACATATGCAAACAGGAGGTTTTCTTTCACCCCCTTTTAAATTTTGAAGCGCCACATTATAAAGTAGCTTAGACAACCTGAACATGCAAACAAGAGTTTTTCTTTTACAAATGAACACATGGTTACACCATGGTCAGATGCCTTGCAAATATGCAAATTAGCTTAAATATGTCAAAAAATAAAGGGCACATCCCTTTTTAAAATTGAAGTACTACTTTAATTAGTAGGCTAGATAATCTGAACATTTTGCAAACAAGGAGTTTTTTTTTAATTAACACATGATGAGGAGATAAAAATTTCAAACTGGAAATTCACTCTGTGGTCACATGTTCATTCACATGCAAATTGGTTTAAATATGCCAAAAAAAAAATATGGGCCATGCCCCTTCTATATTTGAAGCACTACATTAAACAGTAAGCTGCACAATCTGAATGGGACATGTGACCACAGTGTGATTTCAGTGAAATTTCATCCCTCATCATGTGTGTCAGTTTATAAAAGAAAAGCCCTTGTTTGCAGTCATGTCCAGCCTACTGTTTAAAGTAGCACTTCAAGTAAAAAAGGGAACGTGGCCCCTATTTTGCATTTAAGCTAATTTCCATATGAACGGGACATGTGACTACAGCGTGATTTCTGAAACGTTATCCCTCATCATGTGTTCATTTATAAAGCAAAACCCTTGTTTGCAATATGTTCAGATAGTCTAGCCTACTGTTTAAAGTAGCACTTCAAGTAAAAAGTGAAGTGGCCCCTATTTTTTGAATATTTAAGCTAATTTGCATATGAATACAGTGTAATTTCTTAAAATTTTATTCCCTTGTCATATGTGTTCATTTATAAAAGAAAGAACCCTTGTTTGCAATATGTTCAGATTGTAATAGTCTGTTTACAGTAGCATTTCGAATAAAAGGGGCATGGCCAATATTTTGCATATTTAAGCTAATTTCCAAATGAACAGGACTTATGATAAGAGAGATTTCTGAAATTTGATGCCCTATCATGTGTTATCTCCCCCCACCCCCCGCCATATGTGTTTATTTATAAAAGTAAAACCATTGTTTGCAACGATATAGTCATTTTCTAGCCAACACTTCCAAGGAAAAACTTTAAAAAGGGTGTGGTCACTTTCGAGCTGTTCGGCCCGGATACAGATTTTAGCACACATCCCTTGTTGTTCCTGGGGTTCATATTAGTCTATAACAGTTGAGATATTCTCTCCTAAATAGCATGAGTGCATGAAGGGAAGGTGCACAGGTGAATGGTAAAGAACTCGCATCCACTGGTGGAGAACTTGTGCAATCTGCTTCAGGGATATTGAGGTTCTCAGATTCTGTGTCTCCTTGTCAAATAAAACTCATTTTTCAAACAGCTTAAAATTCAAGAAACATTAAAAATGTAAATTTACAATGTAAAATTCAACATATTTTCAATCCACAAGCACTAAACCATACATGTGTATGAGGGTGTTCTCTTTAGTGACAACACACTCTTTTAGTCTCTCTAATAGTCTAGAGAACAGGCTGACCAACATAATATGCTAAAAATGGAAATACATGGTGATTAATATAACTTGTACAGAAAGAGTCCTTCTTTCGCTTTTGACGTCTTAGTTTACGCATAAATTTATTCCGTTTGATGTCTTGTATCTTCCGCTTGTATTGTAATACAATATATATATTATATACGTCTTTGTATGTATATTTATATATATATGTGTGTATGTGTGTTTGTATGTGTGTGTTTGTGTGTATATATATATATATAGGTATATGTATATGTATATGTATATATATACTTAACAAAAGAAGATGTCATACTGACTGTGAATTACCAAAAATATATTTCACAAATCGATTATATTTTGGATCTAATTATTATACAATTTAATGAATTTCCACCTCTTATTATTTTCTTTTTCTTTTTGTTTCAAACTTTACCATGAAAAAAAATACTTTGTAAAAAAGAAGGCTTTAATTTTGACAAAAGTATTATATATGTATATATTAGTTACCCGTATTTTATTTGAAATGTAATATAGATTAAAGATGGAAAAATGAATGAAAACAATTGAAAGTGTTTATGTATGTGGGCTGTCTCTTATACACATCTAGATGTGTATAAGAGACAGCTTTACCTCCTTGTCAATGTATAAAGAATTTACAATTGAAATTCAGTTTCTTTAGTATACCTTGGTTAAAAGTTTAAAATGATAATAAAATGGTAGCATGGGTGTGCATGAAGGCAAGGTGTACAGTGAATAGTAACTCACATCCACTGGTGGAGATCTTGTGCAATCTGCTTCAGAGATCCTTGAGGCTCTCAGATTCTGTATCTCCTTGTCAAATAAAATTGAAACTCATTTTTTTTAACTGCTTTAATTATAAAACATTAAAAATGCAAATATACAATGTAATTAATATATTTTCTACCACTAACAATTAGTATCTCTTCATTAAAATTGTTTTTTACTATGGAAACATCTTTCTTAAAATACCTTTTTTTTTGTACTGAATTCAAAATTGCAGTTTCAGTTGCTTTTACCAGATTTTTTTTATGAACAAAACTTGTAAATCAACATTATTTCCTACTGTGAATAATGTAAGAGAAAACTGTGAAGCAGGAACTGAAATGAAAACTAGCACAACAAACAAAGGTATCATATAATTCACATGCTGATGAGAAGATTTACTATTATCTACTGAGCCAATAATAAATAGTAACACATACCAACATGATTCTTAAGGAGGAATACATTTCATGCTAAGACTGGTAACCAAAGCCTACCAATTAAGGACGTCTAAAAATAGCTTTAGGATATGATCCAGAAGACCTCACTGGCAGGAAGCAATACAATATCCGTCATATTTATAAATCCATGATCATATGGTATTCCAACTTACTGTACTTCTGGTCAGTTGTTTAACTACAGGTGTCAACATGTATGTGAATTACCCATGGTATTAATTACTAATTAAATTCATCTGGATCATAAATAAATATAACAATAATAATGGAATCTTGTAAGGCCCAAATATCCTATCACAGTGCCATTTACACATATGCAAAGAGCAACAGCCTTTTCTGCATTTCATTTATTATATTTATAAAGGTTATTTCATTTAATTTTAATTTTTTTTTTATGCCATGGTATCATAGAGAGGCCATGGTAGGCCTACTCATGGTTACTACCTGTGGTAGGTCTTATATCTCGCTTAACCATACATAGATTTAGTAGCACGAGCGGCTTGCGGGATTTGAAGCAGTCCACTAGAGCTGGATCTTAAGGTGCGTGACAGTATATAAGGTTTAAGCATCTCATCTATATAAGATGGGGCAGTACCGGAAAGTGATTTATACACCATTAGAAGTATTTTGAAAAGAATCTGCTTCTTGATGGGAAGCCAATGGAGCTCATTTAGAATTGGTGTAATATGAGCATACTTTCGGGCACAAACAATCAATCGTGTGGCAGTGTTCTGCACACGTTAGAGTTTACCAGGAAGTCCGAAAAATTCAATTTGATCTCAAAATGAAGGATAGATATTTATTCTAGTTGCTTTTGTTTGTAAATGCCTTTATCATGTGTACGATTTAAATCGTTTGAAATTTTCTAGACACACTGATGATTTGCGTTTTAGGCATGCCTTTGCCCGAACCAATGCATTTAAATTTTCCAGTTTTCAATTACTTTTCCATTGTCTGGGATGCTTCCACTCGAAGTATGTGATGCAGCTCCTTTTTAACATTAATTTATTTATCAGAATGCTAAGAGATCATTTCTGCAAATTGTAGACAGAATTTACGGCATGTCTATTTCCCAGGTCAAAGAAATTCAAAATTACTTAATTGCCATATATTTTGTGCGTGTATTTTTCTATTTTACCAAGGACCTCAACTTCACCACACACTCAACACCCGAGGACTTCTTGCCTTACAGAGGACGAAAAACCCGATCCTCGGAGCACTAGTGCTGGATTTGTGTGTACAAAACATTTCCAGATTTTCTGTAAAGGTCCTCAGCTGGCAGGAAAATTTGAAATTGTGTCACAACGCGTTATGCACTTTTATTTGAGTGGCATTGCACCAGAGCCAATAGAGAGTTTGGCCAACTTGGCGCAATGTTGACACCAAACAGTGTGCGCGCATATACCTTTATAACACTTTATAACACTAAAATAACATTTCCTCTACTGTTTGACTTAATTGTAGAAAGAAAGTAGATGATGCAGACACAACTTAAAAGGACCAGTATTTAATAGGAGAAACAATCCAAAATAAACCGTGTTGAGGTTTGGAAATTAAGATCAACCAGCATATTTTTTATATATGCAGTCTTAAAGCCCCATTCCCGGCAAAATTTCCATTGCTAGTCAGGACTAGAAATTTACTTTTTTAGCTACTAGCAACCTATTGCTAATCTGTGCTAGTTATTAAAAATGTAACTAGCAAAATGAGCTGCTCAACCAGTAAAATATATTGATACCAAATCAACAAATTATTTTCGGAAAATAAATTGTATGAAAATAACTAATGATGTACTTCTATAAATTTGTGTTAAATGTTTTAATATAATATTTCCTGTTATGGTGAGTGTAGTACAATAAATATGTAGTAAAATAAATATAAGAAATAGCCAGATGAGTATAAGCAATTGATTTCTATACCTTGTACATTTATTCACTTCAGTTTCAGAATATTTTTAATATGAAAAAAAAAAATCACAGATACAAAATAAAAATTTAATAATATTAGGCCTATATACTTAATTCATTTTTTAAAATAAATTAAGTTTATCGTTAGTTCAATTTTTATTTTGTATCTGTGATTTTTTTTTTCATACTAAAGATTTAGGCCTACTTTTTACTTATTGGAATTTTTCAAAATGATATAATTATAAAAAATAAAATTTACTTTATATTAATTTTATATCATATTATTTTTTAAAATTCCAAAAAAAAATATACTTGTTTAGCGTCACACCCTTAGAAATGTTCAGGGGCGGGTGGGGGAGGGGGGTTTGCTGCCAGCCTAGGCAGGCTTAGCTAGGGGCCTACTGTGTAGGCTTAGGCCTAGAGATTTAACAAACTGCATTGATGGCCAGAAAAAGGCCATAACAGAAACTCAAGATAAAAAGTAAACCTAAAGAGGGCTCAGTCACACTCTATTGGGTAAGACAAACTATTAAGTTTTTAGAATCATATGTAATAGAAATTGCAATGGGACAACAAATGATTTTACCACAAGAAAAACACAGCTAATGTTGGACTAATAAACTTGAGAGAAAAAATTCACTGTGTGTGATTGCCCAATGCAAAACTTGAGCATCTGAGGCAGTCTGAATGGATCGTCGTTGGAATCGATCCATCATGTGACATGTCACATGCCCTCATGTAATCTGCAGTGTGTGAAAATGTGCTTTTTATAACTAACATTCTAGCAACCATTCTTAACATGTAGGTGAACATGGCTTTAAAGTTGTGCAAATTGTTTGACTACTATGCAGATACGATACTAACACACAAGAGTGGTTATTCAACATCATAAGTGAATACTGCTAATTAGATTTAATACAAATCAAACTATTAATTATTAATGTGACTTAATAATGGTGATGAAACTGATGAAAAACTAAAAAAAATTATTAATATTTAAAATACAACCACTTTCCCATATATAGGCTTGATATCGTTTGGCAGTTTTTACGCACTGTTTGAACGTGTTGGTATGTGGCTTGATGGAGCAGATGTTGAGTCGAATCCACAAAGGTCGAGTCGCGACTGGCGCAGCAGGGGCCACTGGCCAAAGTCAGAAAAACAAATACGATAAATTGAAATAAATATGATAACAACAAAATAATATAATATAATATAAACACTTAAAATATTAAAGTAAAAACAATCGATAATTTTTCTGGTGTTTGCTTGAAGGTGTGCACTTCGAAACCCTTAACTGTCGCCTGTTTTTTTGGTTTTGCAGCTTTTTTTTTTTTGCTTTTTTTTTTTGTTTTTTTATGTCTCCTTTCCAAATTTTTCTATTTTATCAAAAAAAAAAAAAAAAATTAATATTGTATTTATATATGAGAGTTTTATACGTATTTTTGATGTCTTGATGTTTTATATCTTGGGCGTTTTCCCTTTGTTTGGACCTTGAGTCTGTGGAACCTGTCCTTTTGCTTCCTTTTTTTATCTGGCAGTTTTTACGCACTGTTTGAACGTGTTGGTATGTGGCTTGATGGAGCAGATGTTGAGTCGAATCCACAAAGGTCGAGTCGCGACTGGCGCAGCAGGGGCCACTGGCCAAAGTCAGAAAAACAAATACGATAAATTGAAATAAATATGATAACAACAAAATAATATAATATAATATAAACACTTAAAATATTAAAGTAAAAACAATCGATAATTTTTCTGGTGTTTGCTTGAAGGTGTGCACTTCGAAACCCTTAACTGTCGCCTGTTTTTTTGGTTTTGCGGCTTTTTTTTTTTTTTTATGTCTTCTTTCCAAATTTTTCTATTTTATCAAAAAAAAAAAAAAAATTAATATTGTATTTATATATGAAAGTTTTATACGTATTTTTGATGTCTTGATGTTTTATATCTTGGGCGTTTTCCCTTTGTTTGGACCTTCAGTCTGTGGAACCTGTCCTTTTGCTTCCTTTTTTTATCTGTTTGTAAGTTGCAATAAATTGAATAAAGAAACTACAGTGTTACATCACGATACCACATGATACTACCCTGTTGCTTTTGTTGCAAAATGCGTTCAATCGGACGCCATTTTCTCCACTGACAAACCATTGATCACAATTTCTAACGTAATTATTAAGATGTTGTATCTTAGTTTTTCTTTGTAAATTTTAATTGATGATTAAATCTGTGTTCGATGACTAATATAATGCAAGCTTTTGTGTTTTTAGTACATTTTGATGGTAAAATATTTTAAAATGCCTATTTCAGAAAGCCTATGAAGTCATTCAGACATAATGAACGGTAACCAACGTCTGGTTGGTGACAGAGGATGCCACCTGGCGCTGTGACGACACAACTGTGGTACTCTATACCAGTAATACAGAAAATACCTGTTTTACCATAGTAACTGCTTACAAGTATAAGAAATACTCATAGAGGGCGGTATTACTGAGGAAAATAGTAACAGCTTGAAAAATAGTATACATATAGGGCTTAAGCCCTATATGTATACTATGTACGACAAATAAAATGAATCTTGAATTTGTGTGTATTTGTGTGTAAGTTGTTGCTACCAGGAATATAACAAGGAAGTATAGATCTATCAAAGGGAGATTTTTATAACCAGGGCCCTAGGCCTCTGTAACTGAATGAACCTTTCCAGAGTGTCAATCAAACTGACCAATCAGAACTGCACCACAAATACATGTGGCACAGACAGGCCAAACCGGTCACTTATTGCAAATCCTGTTTCCGAGATAATGGCCAAAACATGCTGGAATATCAAAATTTGGGAAATCTATTTTATTGCACTATACTAACCTTTATACATATATCTATACATCATGATATGCTGTTATTTTCCCCATTTCTAATGCTATTGTTAAAACAACAATGGTATCTGCCTAAGAAACTTTGAAGGCTGATTTCTCAAATATCGTTCTTTAAACAGCTGTATAGTTAAACTCCTGTTACTTCATAATGAAAACGAAATGTGGGATTTAAATGATTCTCTCATTTTACTGTTTAACTCTGTATTAATAACTAAAAATCAATTTTTGCGACGAACGACTGGTTTGGCTCGTCTTTGCACCTATGTTTGCACATGTTTTTAAACTATAGATTTGTGAGATCCTAGCAACAATATCCAAGGGGCGGGCTTTAACGGAAATCCATTCATTATGCCAGGGAGCAGCAGACCGCAGGATTTCAAATTTCATGGGAAACTACTTTTGGTTTCAGTGCCCTGTGATCATGGGAAACTGTTTTTAGTGTTCATGTAAGTCAAATTTTTGCATATACGCATGCGCAGTTTAATTTTCATCACAAGATTATTATTGCGAAAGCGTATTGGTAAAATTTTTCGATTCGCGTGAATAAATTCGTCTAATGGAAAACAGCCTTTTTATAAATTGACCTTTATAAAACATTGGAAAAATTTAATTAGCTTCGCAAAAAAAATGTTTACTATTTATTATTAATAATCCGTGGCAGAGGTGAGGTCGGGACTACTACCGGTGGCTATAGTCATCAAAATCCAGATCGATGATCATAAACCTCTCACTTGCAATAATTACTGCAAATTTTGCATCTTATCTCACTTAAAAATGTTTTATTGGTCTCCACTAAATCACCACTGAAATACCATTTTTTGAAAGATTTTGGTTAAAAACATTCCCTCCTCCTGAGGTCTTGGTCTTCCTCTTTTTCGGAGAAGCCATTTTGGTAACGTAATTAACTATAAAGTTATGTGGTGTTTCATACTGTCGTCGCATTCATGGGACTAAAGACTAGTATGAGTAGAGCAGGCAGTAGAGAGGGCGCGATCTTTTGTTATGGTATTTTTTTCGTTCTAGCGTGGAAGCCATTTTCACGCGATACAATCGATTGGATCGAAGACCTCCGGGATAGACCTATGATTTGCCGTTCAGAATTCAAAGTATTTGGCAAACACTTTTCCACTCTAATTATGATTGTGGTGAATGTTTGTAATTCTTTCTAGGCCAGACATGGGAAACGATTTTTCGTTTCTGTAACTTGTTGGTCACGGTAACCACACAGCAGGGCTCGATTTAGTACTAGCCCAACGTACAATGTCTAGTAAAAACTCTAGCTAGCGTTCAGCTCTCCACATGCGCGAATGTTGAATTATTAAGATGATCCCCAAGTCATTCACCAACCACTACAGGATGGCAGTTATCTCTCTCTCAACAGAAGATCGTTTGATCGTTGAATCGGGTTGATTTAGGTACATTTAATTTAATGTACTACCTTGTATTCATATTATTTTCTCATAATGATATTTATAAAATGTTCAACTTTTAATAATTAAGTAATTCAATGCTATAGGAAGCTAGGCTAGCCTAGGCCCTGGGTCTTGTTTAGGCCTAGGCCAGGGTAGCCTAGTCTAGCCTATAAGCAAGATTTATTGCCATTGGGGGTGAGTGACTTGAGACCTGAAGATTTCACAGATGCATTGGTTTGATTGATTTCTGGGCCCTTTGTTAAATATTACAATGCCGACATTATAACCAGGGAGATGCAAAGCATGCTCATCTGTCCCTGTTAGTGTTATAACCATAGTTGATTTTGCAGCATGGGAGATTTTTTATTTATTTATTCAACACTAATTTGAGGGGGTAGCTCAAACAGCAATGCTACAGAAATTATGAAATTGCAAATCAACCTTCAAATTTAATTGTCGCTAATAAGTATTTTGAAACAAAATTTTTTCCTGTCTGTGGGCTAGTAAAATAGTCTGTGGGCTAGTAAAATCTCTAGTAAACTAGCCCAGTGGGCTAGTTACCAAAAAAAGTTAGGGCAAGCCCTGCACAGTACCGGAAACGAACTTTACCGTCAAATCTGGTCGTCTGGAGCAGTCAAGTTGAAGTTAAGCAGTTTTAGTCTGAGAAAGCTATAGTGAAAGAGCTTGGCACAAGAGACTGTTATGAAGAATACAAAGCTTCTGCATAACGGAATGTGGACCAAAGGAAACAAAAACAAAACTACATTAAAAACCTTACCATGAAGCATTGTGTGTCTATTCATGACAATATATCAAACTGCGGAGCACTTTCTCAACACAATATTTACCTAATACTACAGGGGTGACAAACAATATTTATACCAAAATCACAAAAATCACGACACTAACCTGTGTGGTTTCAATTCTGGGTTTAATCTTAGTAAGGAATATGTTCCACCATGCCTGAATGAATTCACTATCATGTTGCATGCTTGTACCATCATGGGGTCGCAATGTACCAGTTTGCATATCGTAACGAAGCGACCATGGCTTGGT